CCCGCATGCTGGATCTCCACTTCCCTGCACTTAAAGGAGCCGGCGTTTCCCCTTTAAGAGCAGGAGCCGGCGTTTCCCCTTTAAGAGCAGCTGCGTTTTCCTTTTAAATGCACGAAGCTGGCATTTCCCTGCGAGCCTGATCTCAGGAGGAGATCGGGCTTGGGAGGAAACACAAGCTTGGGAGGAAACACGGGTTCCACACACTTAAAGGGAGAGAGAGGGGTGACTGTGGGTGTTGGGGGTGGGGCTTCCCCTGCCGGCCATCTGGCCGGCAGCGGGTAGAATCCCCCCCAAAAACAGGGGAACCCCTGGCAACCATCCATGCCTGGCATATAATATTTGCTCTCTCTAGAACTGCCCTTGTGAGAACGGCTCTGAAGGAACTTGTAACTGACCCAAGGTCACACCAGCAGCTGCATGTGGAGGAGTGGGGATCAGACCTGGTTCTCCCAGATTAGAGTCCACACTCCTAACCACTACGCCAAACTGGCTGAGACTACTGTTGGTCACATGATGAGAAGACAAGAGTCACTGGAAAAGACAATCATGCTAGGAAAAGCTGAAGGCAGCAGGAAAAGAGAAAGACCCCACAGGAGATGGATGGACTCAGCCGAGGCAGCCACGAGGGACCTCAGTATGCAAGACCCGAGCAAGACTGTTAAGGATAGGGTGTTTTGGAGGTCATTAATTCCTAGGGTCACCATAAGTTGGAAGTGACTTGATGGTAGTTCGCACAAACACACACCCACACACCCATAGGGCAGCTGTTCCTGCTCAGGCTGCGGCTCAGTGGTCCTGCCACCAGTCTTGGACCTGAGGATGGGGAAATACCCCCAGATTTGGTGCGGTTGAGTCCTGGGCTGCCACTTTCTGCATGCCACATCACCACCTCTCTGGGCCCCAGTGGCAGGAAAGACCCTGCCTAGCCACCCTCTGTCTGGGTGCATCGGTGCACATGTTGCCACTCCTGGGGATGCTGTGGCCAACAACGAGTCCTGCAGCACCATGGGCGGCTTGGCACCCCCTCCATCTCCAGCAAAAGCCGGCCCCTAGGTGATTCCCCAGATATGCCTAGTGGGTGAACCGGCCCAGGCCAAACCAAAGCTATCAGGAACACGGAGACTCAATCACATGGTAAGAGATGTAAATATTACGGCCTGGTTGGGTTGCAGGGGACAGAAACAGAAGGCTGTGGCTCAGTGGTAGAGCATCTGCTTGGCATGCAGAAGGTCCCAGGTTCAATCCCCGGCATCTCCAGTTTAAAAGGATCAGGTAGCAGCAGGTGATGGGAAGGACCCCCACCTGAGACCCTGCAGAGACATGGCCAGTCTGAGTAGTCAGTGCTGACTTTAATGGACTGCTGGTTTGATTCAGTATAAGGCAGCTTCTTGTGTGTACCTGTTCCCCACAGACAGCTTCCTGTAATATGTACAGTGCGAGCTGGTATAGAGTTCTTCACGGTTGCGGGATGCCTGGTTCTGATCTTGCTAGACTTCAGCCTTCAGGATAAATTATGCAGACAGTTATCGCCTGCATATTGTTTATTTAAAAGATTTACACCCCATCATTCTGGCATTCTGCAACAGCTAACAAACTTTATTTGAGAAAGACAAAATCCCATAAGACAACAATGCACCCATAGCAATCATTCAAAACTCAAATGGCAATTTAAGAACAGCCAGATAAAAATAGCCCCAGCATCTCCAGTTTAAAAGGACCAGGCAGTAGGTGATGTGAAAGACCTCTGCCTGAGACCCTGGAGAGCCACTGCCAGTCTGAGTAGACAATGCTGACTTTGATAGACCAAGAGCATAAGGCAGTATACGGCGGCTTTATAGGCAGGGCACACGGCTATTGTGATACCCACGGAAACGCTGAATCCCTAGCCTTTTTTAGACCATGTGCCCTGACCTAGATAGCCTATGCTAGCCCGATCTAATCAGATCTCGGAAGCTAAGCAGGGTCGGCCTTGACTAGTATTTGGATGGGCAACCTCCAAGGAATACCAGAGTCGTGATGCAAAGGCAGGCAGTGGCAAACCACCTCTGGCCCTGTTCGCACGAGGGGTTTTGGGCCGTGAGCGGGATGGGTCGGGGGCGGAGCAAACGGGCGCGATCCCACGGCAACATCTGGGAATCATTGCCTGCCCGTCCCCGATCCGTCCCTCCCACCCAAAAACCCGCACTAAAAAAGAACCACCTACCTAGGTGGTTCTTCGGAGGAGAGCGCCTCAAGCCGGCCGTGGAATCGCCGGCGCATCCTTGGCCCGCGGCCGTACTGCGCATGCTCGAGCATGCGCAGTTCGGCAGCCTCCCCCTTCCATTCGTCTCTTCCTCCCCGGCATCTGATCGTGGGATCCCGCCGCGGTGTCTCAACTTTGGTGCGGCTTTTAGAAGCCGCACTTTTCCCAGTGTTTTCCCTGCCATGTGGCAGGGGCCTCTGAAATGTCTCTTGCCACAAAAATAAGTCTAGCTCGCAAAATAGTGGTGCATAACGCTAAACAGCTAGAACTTCAGGCTGCCAGACAATCTTAGGATCTCCTGGCTATACTACACACAATGCCATATGATAATTATTCATTATTATTATTTGACCACGTAATGACACTGAACCTGGAACCTTCTGCACAAACCTCCCTGTAGGTCCTTCATCCGGAGGCTATACTTAATTTTTTAGCCGGGGACCTAAAAAACAAAAACAGCAGAACGCTCTCACAGAGCACTGGCTTCTCAGACAAGACTTTGCTTTTTCCAAAGACCTTGGGCCAGCTTTCCGAGAACAATTTAGAAAACTGCTTCCCATGGCTAAAAGAATACGTGGCAGGTTTATCTACGCAAACCCCATTCTCTGAAATCATTTACGAAACCCGACAGGTTTGACCCTGGAAAAGGGGACCTCAGGAACCAATTCCTGGGACGGTATGAACTAGTAGCCTTTTTATGTAGTCCCCCGGTATAACCAGCATATTTATAACAGGAACATGCTGACAGGACCAATACGGTGGATGGTTTTTATTGCACATCAATACCCAATTCATGCTCCAACCGCAGTCTGACGATAAACAGCAAATGGCTACCTCTGCCACGGTTTCTGCACCACCCTGCCTGGCTTAGCTTACTTTCCTGCAGTAAGCTAAATGTATCTGCTGACTGTCTCTGGAGGCCTCTTATAGATCATCGCTATCATGTACTGTGTGGAGTGTTTGCCCTTGGAGGCTCCTGCTGGCCCCATGTTATCTGCCCTGGCTCCACGTCCAAGGTCAAGTCAAGGTTCCGGTGGTGGAAAGTGCCATCACATTGCAGCCAACGTGTGGCTGTGAGTGAACTGAGGCCTTAAATGCTGCGGCAAGGGGGTGGAGATACAGCCCCCTCCCCCACCGGGAGACGGTGGCTGGTATTAAAGGAGCCATGCCTGATTATGCTGGCGAGCATTGCAAGGGGACTGAAACGGTTCAGGGTCTGAGTAGGACGGTGTCGTGATCTGGGCTGTGCCACCAAAGGCCTATTAGGCCCAGGGAGCCTGGCTAGCAGTGGGTGAGGCTGGGCCTACAACACCCAGAAGCCCCTGAGAGGTTTTGGAGCCAAAATTGACCAATAGGGAAGCGGGCTGGGGAACAAAAGGGCTGCTGCCAGAGCAGAAGCTGTTCTTCTTCCCAGAGGGCAGAGCCAGAAGGAAGGCTGCTGCAGGGAAGAAACTCTCATCCTGAGGGAAGGGTGAGTAGTCTAGTGCCACTTGGAATAGTGAGCTAGGAACAGTATATATTTAGACGCATTAGGACATTTGATTTCTTTTCTTTTCACCCACTTACTGTTATTATCCTGACTTACTGTTATATTTCTGCACCTTGTTTCCACTATTTTCCTTGTTCACTCTGCCTGGTCATCAGGCCTATCATTCGGCCAAAAGGGAGGCCTGAAGGTCTTGGGAGGGTGCTCTGGGCCTTCTCAAGGGCTCCTGGAACCAGAGTGGTGGCAGCGTCAGGTGACACCCCACCTGAGCCGTGACAAAAGGTTATTGGAATTGGATTACTGTATGTAGCATGTCACTCAGAGGTGCCAGTTCTCGGTTGGGAGATACCCTGAGATTTTGGGGGTGGAGCCTGGGGAGGGAATCTCAGCGGAGTATAACGCCATAGAGTCCACCCTCCAAAGCAGCCATTTCTCCAGCTAGATCAAGCTGGGTCATCGTGTTAGTCCGAGGCAGCAGAAAAGAGCCAGAGTCCAGGAGCACCATCAAGACTAACAAAATTCTAGTTGATAACGCTCAAGAGAATGCGTCCACCTGGAACGAATCAAGACCTAGGTTTCCTGTCTCATTACCAATGCTGATTTCGGCACGCCTATCACAGAAAAGCCCTCTTGAACAACTCCATTTCACATGTAGGAAAAAGCAAGAGTCCCAGGAGCACCTTCAAGACCAACGAAATTTATAGCAGGGGGTGAGCTTTCGTGAACCACTGCTCACTTCTTCGGATACCAAGAATGCGAAAATAAATGCCTGGTCTAGGAGAAGGGGGTGGGGGACGCATGAAGTCATGCAATTTGTTTTTGCGTGCTGTTTGGGTTCGGTCTGGGTAGAAGTGGTCTGTGGGGGGCGGCGAGGGGCTCTCTGGGGGTGTACGGTGATGATTTGTGAGCAGCTGGTAATCTGGCCCTGGAGGGCTCCAGACTTTTCAGGCTCCAACTTGTGGGCTGGGAAGACATTTTCCGTCTCTGCATCGCTCGCACGTACCTGGTGCTCTTCTAGAAGCATGCGTGCAATGACCAGGTGGCCGTTCTGAATGGCATCCATAAAGGGGGTGACTCCGCATTGGTCCACGCTGTCAGGTTTGTAGGGGCACCTGGGCAGAAGCAGAGAAAAGGCACACTGGAGTGAACCCCGTGTACTGCCCATCAAGGTTAGTATTGTCCACCCAGACTGGCAGCTGCTCTCCAGGGTCTCAGGCAGAGGTCTTTACCATCACCCAACACCTTATGCCTTTAGCTGGAGATGCCAGGGATTGAACCTGAGGCCTTCTGCATTCCAAGCAGAGGCTCTGCCATGGAACCACAGCTGCCACTTCCCCGATTTTTCTCCCTCTCCCAAAATACTAAAACTCGAGGGCATCCAATGAAACTTATGGGCAGTAGGTTCAGGATGGACCAAAGGAAATACTACTTTACAGAGAGAGTGATTAAAATGTGGAATTCGCTGCCTGAGGATGTTGTGATGGCTACAGGAATAAACAGCTTTAAAAGGGGATTAGATAGATTCATGGAGGATAAGTCTATCAATAGCTACTAGCCATGGCGACTGAGGGGAACCTCTACATTTAGAGGTAGTAACCCTCTGAATCTCAGAGAGACGGCCTCTGTGCCCTGTTGTTGGCCCTCCAGAGGAGCTGGTTGGCCACTGTGTGAGAAAAGATGCTGGACTAGATGGACCATTGGTCAGATCCAGCAGGGCTCTTCTGAGGTTCTTACTATGCCCCACTGTTGGACCTCCAGAAGAACTGGTTGGCCCCGGTGTGAGACAGGATGCTGGACTAGATGGACCATTGGTCAGATCCAGCAGGGCTCTTCTGAGGTTCTTACTATGCCCCACTGTTGGACCTCCAGAAGAACTGGTTGGCCCCGGTGTGAGACAGGATGCTGGACTAGATGGACCATTGGTCAGATCCAGCAGGGCTCTTCTGAGGTTCTTACTATGCCCCACTGTTGGACCTCCAGAAGAACTGGTTGGCCCCGGTGTGAGACAGGATGCTGGACTAGATGGACCATTGGTCAGATCCAGCAGGGCTCTTCTGAGGTTCTTACTATGCCCCACTGTTGGACCTCCAGAAGAACTGGTTGGCCCCGGTGTGAGACAGGATGCTGGACTAGATGGACCATTGGTCAGATCCAGCAGGGCTCTTCTGAGGTTCTTACTATGCCCCACTGTTGGACCTCCAGAAGAACTGGTTGGCCCCGGTGTGAGACAGGATGCTGGACTAGATGGACCATTGGTCAGATCCAGCAGGGCTCTTCTGAGGTTCTTACTATGCCCCACTGTTGGACCTCCAGAAGAACTGGTTGGCCCCGGTGTGAGACAGGATGCTGGACTAGATGGACCATTGGTCAGATCCAGCAGGGCTCTTCTGAGGTTCTTACTATGCCCCACTGTTGGACCTCCAGAAGAACTGGTTGGCCCCGGTGTGAGACAGGATGCTGGACTAGATGGACCATTGGTCAGATCCAGCAGGGCTCTTCTGAGGTTCTTACTATGCCCCACTGTTGGACCTCCAGAAGAACTGGTTGGCCCCGGTGTGAGACAGGATGCTGGACTAGATGGACCATTGGTCAGATCCAGCAGGGCTCTTCTGAGGTTCTTACTATGCCCCACTGTTGGACCTCCAGAAGAACTGGTTGGCCCCGGTGTGAGACAGGATGCTGGACTAGATGGACCATTGGTCAGATCCAGCAGGGCTCTTCTGAGGTTGTTATTTCCCCCAGGTTCTGAATCCTCCCCACTCCCTTGTCTCTAGCTTCTGTAAGGGAAAGCTGAGGTTCTTAGGCTGAGGAGTTCTTGGTCCCCAATTAGCGTTTGTGCTGGCGCTCCTGCTGGGAAGATCTGAACAACGAGTAGTAAAATAAGAACTGCTGCCGTGCGATAAAAAGAAGCCGGTGTCAGCAAACAGGGTCGGTGAAGAGGAGGAAACGGGTTGGAGAGCAGGAGAAAGAGAGAGGAAGGACTTAGTTTGTGGGTCAGATTGTCAGGAAACGAGGGCAGGAAATCCGCTCACCGCTCGAGGAGAATTTTCACTACCTCCAGACGGCCGTGCAGCGCTGTGTGAGAGAAAAGAACAATCGTTTACAGACTACAGAGAACAGAAGTCGAAGGCACATCTTTTCCCTTTGACTGTGGCACTCCCCTTACCAGTTTGGTCCCGAATGAATATCCACATATTTGTGATTAATTAATAGCCTTGCTATTAATTAAGAGCCAGTTTGGTGTAGTGGTTAAGTGTGCGGACTCTAATCTGGGAGAACCGGGTTTGATTCCCCACTCCTCCACTTGCACCTGCTGGTGTGACCTTGGGTCAGTCACAAGCTCTGGCACAGCTGTCCTTGAAACAGAGCAGTTTGTGTCAAGAGCTCTCTCAGCCCCACCCACCTCCCAGGGTGTCTGTTGTGGGGAGGGGAAGGGAAAGGAGTTTGTAAGCCGCTCTGAGACTCCAAGTGAAGGGCGGGGTATACATCCAATCTCCTCCTCCTCCTCTTCGCTGTGTGATCCAGTACTACTACTTCTTTTTTTTTTTAGGTAAAAAGAAAAGGTGCCAGTGCTAGACTTGCCAACTTCCAGGTCGATGAAAGGAAGCAAATGACCGTGATGTACAGTGCAAGCCGGTTGTATGGCAGACCTGTATCTTAAAGGGATATGGGCATATGGGTTTTGTCCCTTTAAGATGCAGGTCTGGCATACAGCCGGCTGGCAGCGATTAAGGGCTTAATCCACTTGCACCTGGCTGGGTGATCTTGGGCAAGCCATAGTTCTGATAAGAGCTGACCTTAAAAAAGATCCGTTTCTGTCAGAGCTCTCTCAGTCCCACCTACCTCACAGGGTGTCTGTTCTGGCCCCACGCCTCCACGTGCAGCTGCTGGATGACCTCGGGCAAGCCATAGTTCTGTCAGAGCTGTTCTCTCAAGGACAGCTCTGGAAAGAGCTCTCTCAGCCCCACCTACCTCCCAGGGCATCTGTGGTGGGGAGGGGAAGGGAAAGGAGTTTGTAAGCCGCTCTGAGACTCCTTTGGGTAGTGAAGGAAGGGTATGAAAACAGATCAGCCAATATCATAATGCCCCTATATAAATCAATGGTGCGACCTCATTTGGAATACTGTGTGCAGTTCTGGTCACCACACCTTAAAAAGGATATTATAGCTTTGGGAAAAGTGCAGAAAAGGGCAACTCGAATGATCAAAGGGTTGGAACACTTTCCCTATGAGGAAAGGTTAAGGCGCTTAGGGCTCTTTAGCTTGGAGAAACGACGACTGAGGGGTGACATGATTGAGGTTTATAAGATTATGCATGGGAAAGAGCAGGTAGAGAAAGAGGAACTTTTCTCCCTTTCTCACAATACAAGATCTCGTGGGCACTCCATGAAATTGCTGAGCGGTCAAGTTAGAACGGATAAAAGGAAGTCCTTCTTCACCCAAAGAGTGATTAACACTTGGAACTCACTGCCACAGGAAGTGGTGGCGGCTACAAGCATGGATGGCTTCAGGAGGGAATTAGATAGGCATATGGAGCAGAGGTCCATCAGTGGCTATTAGCCACAAGGTATAGATAGGGGCTCTGGGGCAAGTGATGCTCTATCTTCTTGGTGCTTGGGGGGGTCAACAGTGGGAGGGCTTCTAATGTCCTGGCCCCACTGCTGGACCTCCTGATGGCACCTGGAATTTTTGGCCACTGTGTGACAGAGTGTTGGACTGGATGGGCCATTGGCCTGATCCAACATTGGCATCTCTTATGTTCTTATGACGTCCCCAATGCAATGATATCAGGCAGAAGTGACGTCATCATGTCAGGGACACGACACGGTGATGCTCTGCTTTCTGGGCAAAACTCTCTGGTAAATCTGCCCTCCGACCATAGAGTTTTGCCCAAAAGGCAGAGCGTCACTGTGGGACGCCCCCGACGTGAAGACGTCACTTCTGTGTGACATCAGTGCACTGGGGACGTTGCCATGCCCCCTGTTCGGGGGTGGGGTTTCTGGCCGGCGGCGGACAGAAGCCCCGAAAAGTGAGAATGACCCATCACTCTGAAAGCCGCATGCAGGCTTTACCTGCCGTGTGCAGAGGCGTCCTTTTGATTTTGCTTTCTGTGTCCCAGATGTCGGGAGAGACGTCGAGCAAGTAGCAGACGACCTGAGGATCTCCCTCGCGGCAGGCGATATGGAAACAGTTCCAGCCATCTTTGTTTTTCAGCAGGGGGTTTGCCCCGCGCTGCACGAGATGTTCGATCACGTCCAGGTTCCTCCGGGTACAAGCCATCATCAGTGGAGTCCTACCGTTTGGAGGAGCAGAGAACACAATTCACACCCTGTTGTTGGGGTGCATAAAATCTCTCCAATTCATCGTACATTTGAAAGCTCCCCCCCCCCCCCGCCTTCGCCCAGTCCGAAAAAAATGTCAGATTTCACCGACAGATTCCCAGCCATACTTTCATTAGAGAACCAGTCTGGTGTACTGGTTAGGAGCATGGACTCTGATCGGGGAGAACTGGGTTTGATTCCCCACTCTTCCACATGCAGCTGCTGGTGTGACCTTGGGTCAGTCACAAGTTCTGTCAGAGCTGTTGTTATGTACGTCTCTCCAATTCATCGTATATTTGAAAAAAAAAAACCGGCGCCAGTCAGAAAAATATGTCAGATTTCAACCAGACATGTGACAGATTCCCAGCCATACTTTCATTAGAGAACCAGTCTAGTGTACTGGTTAGGAGCATGGACTCTGATCTGGGAGAACCAGGTTTGATTCCCCACTCTTCCGCATGCAGCTGCTGGTGTGACCTTGGGTCAGTCACAAGTTCTGTCAGAGCTGCTCTTGAAAGAGCAGTTCTTGAGAGAGCTCTCCCAGCCCCACCTGCCTCCCAGGGTGTCTGTTGTGGGGAGGGGAAGAGAAAGGCGTTTGTAAGCCGCTCTGAGACTCCTTCGGGTAGTGAAGGGCGGGGTATAAATCCAATCTCTTCTTCTTCTTCTATAACATTGGGTTGGTATCAATAGAAGGTGTTATATGGATTGCTTCCTTGGCTTTTAGGATTTTACTTTTGGGCCAACACGGCTGCCTCAATTGCCTTAGGGCTACACGGGTTAGTCCTTCAATCCCCCCCCGCTCCGTTTTCTAATCAAAATGAACTCTCCTCTATCTGCTATTAGTCTTTCAAAGGAAAAATGGATGTGTCCTTTGAAGTTATTTTAAAAGAAACCCCAGCCTTTTAACTCTAATTACCAAACAGGGAGCCCAGTTTCCATTGGCAATTAGGTAGAAAGGCTGAATCACTTTGCTCTGTCTCTTCCCTCTGGTATGCAGCCAAAGGGCGCTGGGGCCTGCAATTTGCACTTTTGATGGAAGTGTATCACCTTCATCTCAGTTTTTGCCCCCGGGGTACAACTGCCCATGTTCAACTGCTGATTGAAGACTCCTGAGCAGCAGTCCTGGGCAGTGTTCCCCCTAAGCTGAGTGAGTGTGAGCCAGCTCACAGTTTTTCAGCCTCCAGCGCACAGATTTTCGTCTTAGCTCAGGAAGAAGGGCTCCGGAGCAAACTAATGTATGCAGCAGCCAAATTGCTCGCTCACAACTTTAATGCCAGTAGCTCACAAAGTAGGATTTTTGCTCACAAGACTCCACAGCTTAGAGGGAGCACTGGTCCCGGAGAAGGCCTGCCTCTGGCAGTTTTCAGGTTGCCAATCCCAAGTTGGGAGCAGGGAATCCCCTCGTTTGGAGCCCCTCCCCCTGCTCAGGGCTGTCAGAAAGCAGGGTGCTTGTGGCCACTGGGTGCTCCATTATACCCAGGGCTTTTTTTTGTAGAAAAAGCCCAGCAGGAACTCATTAGCATAATAGGCCCCACCGAACAGCGGAAACTCATTAGCATATTATGCCACACCCTGTCAGAGCAGCTCATTAGCATATTAGGCCACACCCCACGTTACCAGAACTGTGGTCATCCAGTCACACCCACCTTTTGCTTCTTATTCTGTTTACCTTGTTTGTCGTCCAAACCCAGGGCTTTTTTTGTAGCAGGAACTCCTTTGCATGTTAGGCCACACACCCCTAATGTAGCCAGTCCTAATGAGTTTCTGCTGTTGGGTGTGGCCTATTATGCTAATGAGTTCCTGCTGGGCGTGGCCAACTCAGGAGCCAGCTGGAACTCCGTTCCTGTGCGTTCCTGCCCAGAAATAGCCCTGATTATACCCTATGGAGACCAGTCCCCATGGGGTATAATGGAGAATCAATCCATGGGTATCTGGGACTCGGGAGGGGGGGCTGCCTTTTGAGGTAGAGAAACCAAATTTTCAGCATAGTAGGTGGTGCCTCTTATGAACCCCCCCCCCCAAGTTTCAAAAAGATTGGACCAGGGGGGCCAATTTTATGAGCCCCAAAAGAAGGCGCCCCCACCCTCCATTATTTCCAGTGGAGGGAAAGCATTTTAAAGTAACGAGGTCCCTTTAAATGTGACGGTCAGAACTCCCTTTGGAGTTCAATCACGTTTGTTCCCTCCCCTCTCCCAGAATCTCCCCATCTGGCAACCCTACTGACATTGCGAAAGTGATGTCACATCCTTGCTCCTGGCTCCACCCCTAATATCTCCTGGCTCCACCCCCAAAGTCCCCAGATATTTCCTGAGTCGGACTTGGCAACGCTAGGCAGTGTCAGTAGTAGAAGAGGGCAAAGGGCAAACCATGTACCAGTCTGCTTTCTTCAAGCAATCGACGGCCGCTCCTCTCTCCAGGAGGTACAAGACGACGTCCCGGTGGCCCATGGAGGCTGCCTCGTGGAGGGGCCGCTTGTAATCGTTATTGAACAGCTCAATGTCCATCTCCAGAGTCTCCACCAAGTACCGGAGGATGTTCACGTGGCCGTGCCGGGCCGCGTAGTGGAGGAGCGTGTCCCCCGACCGCCCAAAGTGCTTCCGCTTCACTTCCCCGCTCAGATCCACGACATTTTGAATCTCTTGTTTGAAACGGGTGAGGTTTCCTTCTTGAATTAACTTGGGAAGTAGTTTCGGGGTCTCGCCGTCCACCATAGCCGGCTGCTTTCATAGCCTTTCTGGGCTCCTAGAACAGTGTTAAGATTCAGAATTAGGGGATAGACACCTCAATACCAGGGGTCATTTCCTGCAGGAGCGCACAGGAGCAGAGCTCCGGCAGTAAAGAGCCCAGGGGGTGGGCACATGCAACAAGCCCCACCCCCTGCTCCCAGCAGCCCTCAGCCAGAGCAAGAAGCAGACAGGTAAGTTGCAGAGCTCCCCCCGGCTCCCTGGTCCAAAACAGTCAGGTGGCACCTTTAAGACCAAGTTTTATTTGGGTACAAGCTCTCCCTCCTCTGCAAGGACAGATCTGCACGTGCCCCCCCCATAGCTAGCAATCCGAAACAGTCCAGTGGCACCTTTAAGACTAAATTTTATTCGGGTACAAGCTCTCCCTCCTCTGCGAGGACAGATCTGCACGTGCCCCCCCCCACAATAGCTAGCAATCCAAAACAGTCCAGTGGCACCTTTAAGACCAAGTCTTATTCAGGTACAAGCTCTCCCTCCTCTGCGAGGACAGATCTGCACGTCCCCCCCCCCATAGTTAGCAATCCAAAACAGTCCAGTGGAGCCTGAGCGGTGGGTGTTGCCTTCTGACACACTTCCGGTGATGTCAGGGGGTGTGGCATATGCAAATGAGGTATGCTAATGAGCTCCTGCACCTCTTCTTCTACGAAATGACCCCTGCTCAATACTATATAATATATACAGGCCTAGGACCTAGATTCGAGTCCAGCAGCACCTTAGAGGAGAACAAGTTTTGCGGGGTATACGTTTTTAAGAATCATAGCTCCCTTCGTCAGATATCAAGACCTGGCTACTTAACAGACCGCCTGCCCCCATCTATTTGTGCCCAGATACTGAGGTCATTGTCTCAGCCTTTCTTCCTGTCCTCGGGCCGTCTGAAGTAAAGCAGGTGGCAAACAAGGGCAGAGGCTTTTCAGTGGTGGCCCTCTCGCTTTCCTTGGGGCCACCAGTGGCCATTTTGTGGCACTACACCAAGACTTTCTTGGCTATAGTTGTCAGAGAGCCAGTTTGGTGTAGTGGTTAGGAGCGCGGACTCTAATCTGGGAGAACCGGGTTTGATTCCCCCACTCTTCCACATGCAGCTGCTTGGTGACTCTGGGCAAGCCACAGTTCTCTCAGAGGTGTTGTCTCAAGAGCAGTCCACAAGAGAGCTCTCTCAGCCCCACTCACCTCACAGGGTGTCTGTTGTGGGGAGGGGGAGGGAAAGGAGTTTGTGAGCCGCTCTGAGACTCCTTCAGGTAGTGAAGGGTGGGATATAAAACCAATCTCTTCTTCTTTTATTTAATTGGAACCCACAGCCAGCTCTATAATTAAGGGAAGCAAGGGGCTAGGGTTGCCAACTCCAGGTTGAGTAATTCCTGGAGATTTGGGGGTGGAGTTTGGGGAGAGTGGGATTTGGGGAGAAGAGTGACCTTGGTGGGGTGTAATGCCATAAAGTCTACCCTCTGCGGCAGCCATTTTCTACAGGGAAACTAATTTCTGTAGTCTGGAGATCACTTGTGACTCCAGGAGATCTCCAGGCCCCACCTGGAGATTGAGAACCTCACCAGCACATATTCAGATGCAGCACAATGACCGACAAGGGTCCCAAATTGGCTTCCCCACCACCACCCCTTGTGCTTTCGGTAACACTATAATTTTAATTAGTTATTTTTAAGTGATTGCCGTCTTGGTGTTGCTGATGTTTCAAATTCCTTTTTTTTTTTTTTTTGGTCATAATTTGGTTTGGCCAGTCTCTGTATTTCTGTTTTTTTTTTTGGTTATTATTTGGTTTGGCCAGTCTCTGTATTTCTGTATCCCAGGGGTCATTTCCTGCAGGAGCGCACAGGAGCGGAGCTCCGGCAGTAAAGAGCCCAGGGGGCGGCCAACATGCAGTCCCAGGTTACAGGGAGCAAGAAGCAGCCAGGTAAGTTGCAGTGGGTATTGCCTTCTGACACACTTCTGGTGATGTCAGGGGGTGTGGCCTATGCAAATAAGTTATGCTAATGAGCTATGCTAATGAGCTCCGGCACCTCTTTTTCTACAAAATGACCCCATCACTGTTATTTTAGAGTATATTTTCATATGGATTGTTTTGCCCTAAATTTACCTCATGCCTTTCAAAGCTCTGGGATCTAAGGGACATCTCCCTACTTCTTGTCTCAGTGAGTTCCAGAAGTCAATCACACAAGGGTATTTGGGGAGTCTGTCCTGAATTTACTGCCTCTTTGACAAGATTCTTTTAAAAAAATGTTTAAAAGTTCATGAGTTTTCGGCATACAGACTGAAAACATTTCCCTCTTGAGAGTTCCGGCACCCCTTTAAAAAAAAAAAAAAAAAGCCCTGGAAAAAAATAATTCCGGGGAGGGGCCACAGCTCAGTGGCAGAGCCTCTGCTTGGCATGCAGAAGGTCCCAGGTTCAATCCCTGGTGTCTTCAGTTAAAAAGGACCAGGCAGGAGGTGATGGGAAAGACCTCCGCCTGGGACCCTGGAGAGCTGTAAAGAGGGTCTGTGGCTCAGTGGCAGAGCCTCTGCTTGGCATGCAGAAGGTCCCAGGTTCAATCCCCGGCGTCTCCAGTTGAAAAGGACCAGGCAGGAGGTGATGGGAAAGACCTCAGCCTGAGACCCTGGAGAGCTGCAAAGAGGGGCTGTGGCTCAGTGGCAGAGCCTCTGCTTGGCATGCAGAAGGTCCCAGGTTCAATCCCCGGCATCTCCAGTTGAAAAGGACCAGGCAGGAGGTGATGGGAAAGACCTCAGCCTGAGACCCTGGAGAGCTGCAAAGAGGGGCTGTGGCTCAGTGGCAGAGCCTCTGCTTGGCATGCAGAAGGTCCCAGGTTCAATCCCCGGCATCTCCAGTTAAAAAGGACCAGGCAGGAGGTGATGGGAAAGACCTCCGCCTGAGACCCTGGAGAGCTGCAAAGAGGGGCTGTGGCTCAGTGGCAGAGCCTCTGCTTGGCATGCAGAAGGTCCCAGGTTCAATCCCCGGCATCTCCAGTTTAAGAGAACTAGGTGATGAGAAAGAAATCAGCCTGAGACCCCGGAGAGCTGCTGCCAGTCTGAGTAGACAATACCCACCTTGATGGACCCAGGCAGCTTCATATGTACACTTATTTGTGAGATCAACCAGTTTGACTTTGGGGAGACCAATTCTTTATTTCCTGCCATTCATGAGCCTGGGGATAACCCCCCGGCCCCAAAATCCTGCCAAGGCCGAATGACACAGGATACTGTCTGAAACATCACCTGTGTCACCTGGCCCGAGGGGTGCCAACAAGCCTGGAGAAAAATGCCCTGTCCCTTTAACAGAGGCTTCAACGGGCTGTTATTGACCAGGTAATGTCATTTTAAGTCCACCTCACAACACACCTCACCTGCCCATTTCCACCCATTAAGCCTTGATTAAAGGACAGGACATTTCCCCTCCAGGTATAAGCAGGAAGCCTCTATGGCCCTTTGTGTTTTTCCAAATCCACCTAGCAAGTCCACGTGGGCAAGCTCGGGCGTGTCTCATGTTGCCTTTCCCAAATGAAAACTAAAAACCGAAAGAAACAAACAGGAAGGAGAAAGCAGTCACCTGGAGGAGGAATAGCCATTGAAGTGCACGCTGCTTTACTTCCAGAGAGAGAGAAGAAAATCAAGGTTCACACAAAAGAATTCATCTCAAGGAAGATGAGAAGAAGAAGAGGTTGGATTTATACCCCACCCTTCACTACCCGAAGGAGTCTCAGAGCGGCTCACAAACTCCTTTCCCTTCCCCTCCCCACAACAGACACCCTGTGAGGCAGGTGGGGCTGAGAGAGCTCTCTTGAGAACTGCTCTTGAGAGAAGAAGAGATTGGATTTATACCCCACCCTTTACTACCCAAAGGAGTCTCAGAGCGGCTGACAAACTCCTTTCCCTTCCCCTCCCCCTCCCCACCACAGGCACCCTGGGAGGTAGGTGGGGCTGAGAGAGCACTCTTGAGAACTGCTCTTGAGAGAAGAGGAGATTGGATTTATACCCCGCCCTTCACTACCCGAAGGAGTCTCAGAGCGGCTCACAAACTCCTTCCCCTTCCCCTTCCCACAACAGACACCCTGGGAGGTCGGTGGGGCTGAGAGAGCTCTCTTGAGAACTGCCCTTGAGAGAACAGCTGTTATGTATTGAGCCTAAGCCAATCCTCAAGCTGTACCAGGAATGGGTTGAGCTTGATACTCTAGAACAATAGATTGCCAGGATCCTGGAACAAACCAATAGATACGTGGTGTAATGTAAATAGCCTATCACTGGGAGTGGGTGTGTGTTGGGTGTGGTGTTTGCATGCTTTTTAAGCAGGGCTCAAGCCCTACAAGTTGTCCTTGTAGTTTGCTGAAATCACTGAATAAACTAGAGCTGATCACTGCAATGCGTCTAGAATCCAGTATTTAACAGCTCTGAGAGAACTTGTGACTGACCCAAGGTCACACCAGCAGCTGCATGTAGAGGAGTGGGGAATCAAACCCGGTTCTCCCAGATTAAGAGTCCATGCTCTTAACCACTACACCAAACTGGAAATTATGATGCCCTTTGAGATTCTACAACATAAGACCTCACAACCACCAGACTCTGCAATACAAGAACACACTACCCACTACTACTGTGTATTGGGCAGTAAATATCTCTGATCCAATGGGGGTTACTCTTTAAAAAGCCAGCGCGGGGTAGTGGTTAGAGTGTTGGGCTAGGATCTGTGAGACCCAGTTTCGAATACCTGCTCTGTCATGGAAGCTCACTTCGGGCCAGTCACGCACTCCCAGCCTAACCTACCTCACAGGGTTGTTGTGAGGATAAAGAGGAGAGAAGAAGGCTGTAAGCCGCTTTGGGCCCCGTTGCAGGGAAAGGTGGGCTATAAATAAAGCAAATCAATCAATCAATCCAATTCCAATTTCAATAACCTTTACTGGCACAGCAATAACTCTATAAAAAGAATAGTAGTACCAATCAACCCATATGTCAAAAAAGGGAAACAATTGGAGTACAGCAGTTTGTAACATCGTATACAGTAAGGTTAAAAATTTGTAACAGTAATCTCGAATAGTACAGTAATTAAAACAGTTACATCTTTCTTTCCTCTATTTCTTGGCCCCTGAGTACATTTGCCAGGAAACCTGCCACCTGCTCAGGAACTTCATGGTTTTTGTCCACTAGCAAGAATTTAATACCTCTATTGGTTGCAGCCTTAAAGGGTTGGTAAAGGTAAAGGTTCCCTTGCTCGAAAGCCAGTCGAATCCGACTCTAGGGTTGCGGTGCTCATCTCCGCTTCAAAGCCGAAGAGCCAGCGCTGTCCGAAGACGTTTCTGTGGTCATGTGGCCGGCATGACTAAACACCGAGGCGCACAGAACGCTGTTCCCTTCCCACCGAAGTGGTACCTATTTATCGACTTGCAATTTCTTGCTTTCGAACTGCTAGGTTGGCAGGAGCGGGAACTAGAGACGGGAGCTCACTCCGTCATGCGGCACCCGGGTCTCGAACTGCTGAACTACCGACCTTCCACAGCCTGCAGTTTAGCGTCTTAACCACTTGAGCCACCGCAGCTCCTTTAAAGAGTTGGAGGAGGGGACTAATCAAGTGTGAACGTAGCTGGGTAAACAGCGGGCAGTTTAAGAGGATATGCTGAACAGAGTCGGGTTCTTTGCAGAGGCGTCTGCAGAATCTTGCCTCATAGGGGATACCTCATAGGCACAGATATAGAATAGGAGAGACTTGGCTTGACAGCAGCACATGTGAAAGGGATCTGGGTGTTCTGGTTGATCAGAAGCTCAACATGAGCCTGCAGTGCGATGTGGCTGCGAAGAAAGCGAATGCAGTTTTAGGATGCATTAACAGAAGAAGCATTGTGTCCAGATTACGGGAGGTGGTCGTTCCACTTTATTCTCTATTCCTCACCTGGAGTCCTGTGTCCAGTTCTGGGCACCACATTTTAGGAAGGATGTTGACAAGCTCGAGCGTGTCCAGAAGAGGGCAACCAGGATGGTGAGAGGGTTGGAGTCCAAGTCTTATGAGGAAAGGCTGAAAGAGTTGGGTCTGTTTAGCCTGGGAAAGAGGAGGCTTAGAGGGGACACGATTGCAGTCTTCAAGTATCTGAAGGGCTGTCATGTAGAAGATGGAGCCGATCTCTTCTCTCTTGCTCCGGATTGCAAGACTAGATCTAATGGGTGGAAATGACAAGGGAGTCGATACCGGCTAAATATCAGGAGAAACTTTCTAACTGTAAGAGAGGCTGAGCAGTGGAACAGTCTGCCTCAGGAGGTGGTGGATGCCTTGGGAGGTAGTGGTTAAGTTCGCGGACTCTAATCTGGGAGAAGCGGGTTTGATTCCCCACTCCTCCACTTACAGCTGCTGGATGACCTTGGGCAAGCCATAGTTCTGGCAGAGCTGTTCTTGGAACATGGAACAGGGGTCACTGGGGGTGTGGCGGGGGGGGGGATTTGTGAATTCCCTGCATTGTGCAGGGGGTTGGACTAGATAGCCCTGGAGGTCCCTTTCCAACTCTATGATTCTATCACCTACAACTTGATTGTTTTGACTGGAGATGCCGGGGACTGAATCTGGGACTTCCTGCATGCAAGGCGGAATCCAATCCAATCTCTTCTCCATTAGACGAGTATTTATGGATGAAAAAAGGTAATACTTCCAAAGACTGATATGAAGAAGAGATGAGATTTATACCCTGCCTTTCACTACCCAAAGGAGTCTCAGAGCAGCTTACAATTTTGTTTCCCTTCCCCTCCCCACAACAGACACCTTGTGGGGAAGGTGGGCCTGAAAGAGTTCTTTCAAGGACTGCTCTTGAGAGAACAGCTCTGAGAGAACTTGTGATGGACCCAAGGTCATCCAGCAGCTGCATGTGGAGGAAGAGTGGGGAATCAAACCCAGTTCTCCCAGATTAGAGTCCGTGCTCCTAACCACTACCCCAAACTGGTTCTCAGCAGCAATACTTTCACAGACAGATTTACAAAACAGCAGGACACGCCCGTCTGGATTGAAGGCGGTTTCGTTTAATGACTCCTTGAACTTGCTTTCAATAGCGAGTATACTTTCAACAGTTCTTGTTTGGAACCCAACGGGAATGAGCAAAACTTCAGGAACACGGACCCAGCCTGCCACTGTTCAAACAGTTATTCTCACAAAGGTTCTTCCTGTATTTCAACTGACCTCTAGACTACAGAGATAAATTCCACTGGAGGAAAAGGTCGGCTTTGACTGTTGGGTTCTATGACGTTATGCCTCACAGAGGTTTTCAAACTCTGTCCTTCCTGCAGTTGCCACGTTCCAGGTGGGAAATATATCAAACTAACAAACACCGTGATAAAAATGTTTGTTGTTGTTCAGTCGCACAGTTGAGTCTGACTCTTTGCGACCCCATGGACCAGATCCCGCCAGGCCCTCCTGTCTTCCGCTGTCCTCTGAAGTTGGCTCAATTTCATGTTCGTTGCATCTGTGACACTGTCTAACCATCTCATCCTTTGCCGTCCCCGTCTTCTTTGACCTTCGATCTTTCCCAGCATCAGGGTCTTCTCCAGTGAGGGCTCCCTTCTCATTGGGTGGCCAAAGTCTTTGAGCTTCAGTTTCACTCTCTGGCCTTCCAGGAACCAGTCAGGGTTGATTTCTTTTAGGATGGACTGATTTGATCTTCTTGCAGTCCAAGGGACTCTCAAGAGTCTTCTCCAGCACCATAGTTCAAAAGAATCTATTGTTCGGCGCTCGGCCTTCCTTACAGTCCAACTCTCGCAGCCATACATGACTACTGGGAATACCATTGCTTTGACCATGCGGTCAAATATTACTAAGGAGATGCTAATATTCTCAAGGAAAAGTCCTTCATCCTCAATGAGCGCCCGGTTCTAAACTCATTTCACCAATCTTCCTCAAGAGTTCTGCTGCTGCCGCGTCATCGTAGGTTTGCAGGTGTTATATATGAAGTTCTGCTTTAGCTTGAGTTCTGGAACGGGATTGTAAACCCACCAATTAGAGCTGCGTAATGTTCTGGAGGGAAGCACTCTGATTGGACCTTATCCATAAAAGGTGATTGGTTATTATATGCAGAGGTCATTTCGGGGGGGGATCGCGTGATGTCAGGGGGTGTGGCATATGCTAATGAGTTATGCTAATGAGTTCCCCTAGCTCGTTTTCTACGAAACGACCCCTGATTATATGACTTATGGGCGTGGCCACCATTTAAAAGAGAGCCTGTTGCTCTATGTTTTTGTCTCATTCTGATTTCTTCTGACTTCGTTAATAAAGCTGATTCACTGTTCATGAGCTGTGTCGAGTCTTGTACACAACAGCATCTGACAGATACACACCTGGACAGCATACTCAAGACTGCAACAGCACAGACATTTTGATGCAATCATTCGGAGCAAGAGGTGTCCGTTATCAGGACACGGTTAAATAAACAAAATATTGCAAGAGCGCTGATGTTTCAGGCATGGTTTTATTTTAAGTTTTAAAAAACCCCTTTTGTGTTTGTGTCCTTCATAAAGTTTATATCTCCGCTACCTGGCATTGCATTTTATGACGCACACAGCCGGGCCCAACGAGGTCTCATGTATGTCCGATCCGGCCCTCAGAACAAACGAGTTCGACACCCCTGCCATGGAGTCCACCGTTCAAAGCAGCCATTTCCCTCCAGGGGAACTGAACCATGCCTCCTGGAGATCCAGGGGTCATTTCGTAGAAAAAGAGGTGCAGGAGCTCATTAGCATAACTTATTTGTATATGCCACTCCCTCTGACATCACCAGAAGTGTGTCAGAAGGCAACACCCACCGCTCAGGCACCACTGGACTGTTTTGGATAGCTAGCTATTGGGGGGGGGGGGATGCTGAGAAAAAAAGATCTGTCCTCACAGAGGAGGGAGAGCTTTTGCCTGAACAAAACCTGGTCTTAAAGGTGCCACTGGACTGCTTTGGATTGCTAGCTATTGGGGGGGTGGGGAATGTGCAGATCTGTCCTCGCAGAGGAGGGAGAGCTTGTACCTGAATAAAACTTGGTTTTAAAGGTGCCGCCGGACTGTTTTGGACCGAGGGGGCTCTGCAGCTTACCTGGCTGCTTCTTGCTCTGACTGAGGGCTGCTGGGAGCAGGGGGTGGGGCTTGTTGCATGTGCCCGCCCCCTGGGCTCTTTACTGCCGGAGCTCCGCTCCTGTGCGCTCCTGCAGGAAATGACCCCTGTGGAGATCAGTTCTAACAGCAGGAGATCTCCAGCCACCACCTGGAGGTTGGCAACCCTATTCTGCCACTATAATTTTTTTTTTATTTTTATTTTTTTGCAAAAACAGATTCTGTTTACATTCTTCAAGGTTGCTTTTGCACGCTTTGTCGCTTCAGGGCAACACGACCACCCGCCTGAATGTACCCCAACTAACAGAACGACGTCTGAGTCCAGCGGGTACCTTTAAGACCCACCCAAGTAAACCTACCTGGGATTGCGGTCCGAAACTCCGCCCATCAGCCTTCTTTTCCGAATTATTTCACTCCCGGCTCCGCAGTGAGACGAAGCCTCTCCAAACCCCGCACTTTGCAAAACGTTCACTTCTTGCACTCGCACGTCTCTCTCTATTGCATCCCTATGGGCTCCCGTTAGACTTGCCCCCCAAATGGAGGCCCTCCCGGAATTCTGGATTGCGCGGAACGCTTCCATACGTACCTCTTTGGGGCGGACAGGCCAGACACTCCCGGCAAGCTTTCAGTCTTCCCCCACCCGGCTGCACCCGGAAGCATAACAAACGAGCGCTGTGGGAGATTAGCTAGTCGGGACGTCAATCGAAGGCCGAAGGGCGGGATTCTCGCAAGTGGCGGCTAGCGGGGTAGGTTGTTTGATTCCAGGAAGCAGGTTAGGATGCGCGCACAAGGAAAGGGACGTGACGCCGCTTTGATGTTTGCAAACTTCGCCGAGATCAGAGTAAGACTCGGGTTTTTAATTTAGCCCCTAACTAATTGCTCCTTTGGGCTAATGACTCGGGGGACTTGGGGGGAGGCGTTTCAGGCTGCAGTCAGGTCCAGCCTCCAAAAGCAGCTGCTGTCCCACAAGGATGCCACCCTCCAGGTGGGGCCTGGGGATCCCCTGGAATTGCAATTTGCAGCTCATCCCCAGACTGCAGAGATCAGTTGCCCTGGAGGAAACGGGAGCTTTGGAGGGTTGGGCTCTCTGGCATTGGACCCCTCTAGGGATGCCAGCCTCCAGGTAGGGCCTGGGGGTCCCCTGGAATTGCAATTTGCAGCTCATCCCCAGACTGCAGAGATCAGTTGCCCTGGAGGAAACGGGAGCTTTGGAGGGTTGGGCTCTCTGGCATTGGACCCCTCTAGGGGATTAGATGATCGTCCATGAATCTGTCAATGGCTACTAGGCATGGTGGCTGTGGGGAACCTCCACACTCAGAGGCACAAATCCTCTGAATTCCAGTGCTTGGAGGCAACATCTGGGAATGGCTCTGTCTCTCTGCCCTGTTGTTGGCCCTCCAGAGGAACTGGCTGGCCCCTGTGTGAGACAGGAGGGTGGACTGGATGGACCCTCACTTGTCTGATCCAGCAGCGCTCTTCTGATGTTCTTCTCAGGGGAAGGCCTCGGCCTCCGTGCCCTGTTGTTGGCCTTCCAGAGGAACTGGCTGGCCCCTGTGTGAGACAGGAGGGTGGACTGGATGGACCCTCACTTGTCTGATCCAGCAGCGCTCTTCTGATGTTCTTCTCAGGGGAAGGCCTCGGCCTCCGTGCCCTGTTGTTGGCCTTCCAGAGGAACTGGCTGGCCCCTGTGTGAGACAGGAGGGTGGACTGGATGGACCCTCACTTGTCTGATCCAGCAGCGCTCTTCTGATGTTCTTCTCAGGGGAAGGCCTCGGCCTCCGTGCCCTGTTGTTGGCCTTCCAGAGGAACTGGCTGGCCCCTGTGTGAGACAGGAGGGTGGACTGGATGGACCCTCACTTGTCTGATCCAGCAGCGCTCTTCTGATGTTCTTCTCAGGGGAAGGCCTCGGCCTCCGTGCCCTGTTGTTGGCCTTCCAGAGGAACTGGCTGGCCCCTGTGTGAGACAGGAGGGTGGACTGGATGGACCCTCACTTGTCTGATCCAGCAGCGCTCTTCTGATGTTCTTCTCAGGGGAAGGCCTCGGCCTCCGTGCCCTGTTGTTGGCCTTCCAGAGGAACTGGCTGGCCCCTGTGTGAGACAGGAGGGTGGACTGGATGGACCCTCACTTGTCTGATCCAGCAGCGCTCTTCTGATGTTCTTCTCAGGGGAAGGCCTCGGCCTCCGTGCCCTGTTGTTGGCCTTCCAGAGGAACTGGCTGGCCCCTGTGTGAGACAGGAGGGTGGACTGGATGGACCCTCACTTGTCTGATCCAGCAGCGCTCTTCTGATGTTCTTCTCAGGGGAAGGCCTCGGCCTCCGTGCCCTGTTGTTGGCCTTCCAGAGGAACTGGCTGGCCCCTGTGTGAGACAGGAGGGTGGACTGGATGGACCCTCACTTGTCTGATCCAGCAGCGCTCTTCTGATGTTCTTCTCAGGGGAAGGCCTCGGCCTCCGTGCCCTGTTGTTGGCCTTCCAGAGGAACTGGCTGGCCCCTGTGTGAGACAGGAGGGTGGACTGGATGGACCCTCACTTGTCTGATCCAGCAGCGCTCTTCTGATGTTCTTCTCAGGGGAAGGCCTCGGCCTCCGTGCCCTGTTGTTGGCCTTCCAGAGGAACTGGCTGGCCCCTGTGTGAGACAGGAGGGTGGACTGGATGGACCCTCACTTGTCTGATCCAGCAGCGCTCTTCTGATGTTCTTCTCAGGGGAAGGCCTCGGCCTCCGTGCCCTGTTGTTGGCCTTCCAGAGGAACTGGCTGGCCCCTGTGTGAGACAGGAGGGTGGACTGGATGGACCCTCACTTGTCTGATCCAGCAGCGCTCTTCTGATGTTCTTCTCAGGGGAAGGCCTCGGCCTCCGTGCCCTGTTGTTGGCCTTCCAGAGGAACTGGCTGGCCCCTGTGTGAGACAGGAGGGTGGACTGGATGGACCCTCACTTGTCTGATCCAGCAGCGCTCTTCTGATGTTCTTCTCAGGGGAAGGCCTCGGCCTCCGTGCCCTGTTGTTGGCCTTCCAGAGGAACTGGCTGGCCCCTGTGTGAGACAGGAGGGTGGACTGGATGGACCCTCACTTGTCTGATCCAGCAGCGCTCTTCTGATGTTCTTCTCAGGGGAAGGCCTCGGCCTCCGTGCCCTGTTGTTGGCCTTCCAGAGGAACTGGCTGGCCCCTGTGTGAGACAGGAGGGTGGACTGGATGGACCCTCACTTGTCTGATCCAGCAGCGCTCTTCTGATGTTCTTCTCAGGGGAAGGCCTCGGCCTCCGTGCCCTGTTGTTGGCCTTCCAGAGGAACTGGCTGGCCCCTGTGTGAGACAGGAGGGTGGACTGGATGGACCCTCACTTGTCTGATCCAGCAGCGCTCTTCTGATGTTCTTCTCAGGGGAAGGCCTCGGCCTCTCTGCCTTGTTGTTGGCCCTCCAGAGGATCTAGTTGGCTGCTGTGTGAGGCAGGATGCTGGACCAGATGGACCCTCACTGGTCTGGTCCAGCCGGGCTCTTCTGAGGTTCTTATGAAGGCCTCGGTCTCTATGCCCTGTTCTTGACCTTACAGAGGAACTGGTTGGCCACTGTGTGAGGCAGGATGCTGGACCAGATGGACCCTCACTGGTCTGATCCAGCAGGGCTCTTCTGATGTTTTTTACGATTGTCAACAGGCCTGGAGAAAAATGCCCATTGCTATAAAAGAGGTGGAAATAGGCAGTTGAAGTTTGTCATGGCATGGAGTTAAAAAACATCACATGGCAAATCACACCCCTCTGTTAAAGGAATAGGACATTTTTCCCCACCAGGAAGCTAGCCATCGTAGCCCTAACAGCTAGGCGTTGTCCACAGGCCAACAAACATTTAAGCTCTGCCTGCAGACCTTGACCCCCAGATTTATGTGAGATGCAGTTCCTATCTCCGATCAATGCACTAGGCTTCGGAGCTGTCCGTCAGCCAGTCCCCGCCATTAATATTGTAAAAGTAACAGAAATCCTCACCAACAACCCTGCGAGGTCAGCCGCAGAAATCCCTTGTGCATGGAATGAGTGCTGGTCTCATTTGGTTTCCTTGGTCACAGTCCAGAACCAAGTTGTGTGCCTGGCAAATTCTGTCATTTGGTTTGATCGTATACCAGCTTTGTGCGGGTGGGGGGAATGAATGTATATGGTTGTGCCCCTATTCCGTCCACTAGGGGTGGTTCAGGTATGCAACAGAGAGTGGTGTGGTGGTGACAGAAAGGACTGTACCACTTCTGACCCAAGGCGATGGATTCTAGCTTTCAGGGTTGGGTGCAGTGGTTAAGTCTGCGGACTCGAATCTGGGAGAACCGGGTTTGATTCCCCACTCTTCCACTTGCACCTGCTGGATGACCTTGGGCAAGCCGTAGTTCTGATCAGAACTGTTCTTGAAAAAGAGCAGTTTCTGTCAGAGCTCTCTCAGCCCCACCGACCTCACAGGGTGCCTGTTGTGGGGAGGGGAAGGGAAAGGCGTTTGTGAGCCGCTCTGAGACTCCTTTGGGTAGTGAAGAGCAGGGTATAAATCCAATCTCCTCCTCCTCCTCTTCCTCTTCTTCTTCTTCTTCTTCCTCTTCTTCTTCCTCTTCCTCTTCTTCGTCCTCTTTCTACTAACATAGGGCAGCGTCCTCAAATGTGGCTCTACTCCTTGGAGTTTTGCTTCCCTCGTCTCCTGGTAGCATGAACCAGATCATAGGGTGTGTTCGCCAACTGGAAACAAGCCCCTTGACACTTTGTCGACTTCTTTGTTGAAAACAGTGAGCCGTTTTAAGCGCCTTCGCCTCTCAGCCGACGACTGCGACGCTCTGAGCCAGAGTCCGGAAGGCACCGTGGCCTTGACGCAGCCCTTCAGCCGGAGACAGAGCAGCCTAGATTCCAACCGGGGTCTCTACCCTACTTTCCGGACTAAGAAGCATCAAAGAGGTACGGCAGCGTCCTGGCCTGTTGCGTTCTTGGAAGTCCTTCTTCACCCAAAGAGTCATTAACAGGTGGCATTCACTGTTCAAGAGGAGATTGGAGAAACATACGGAGTGGAAGTCCATCAGTGGCTATTAGCCACACGGTATCGATGGAACACTCTGTCTGAGGCAGTGATGCTCTGTCTTCTTGGTGCTTGGGGGGCAACAGCGGGAGGGCCTTTGGAGTTCTGGCCCTGCTGGTGGACCTCCTGATGGCACCTGGGTTTTGGCCAATGTGTGACACAGAGTGTTGGACCGGTTGGGCCATTGGCCTGATCCAACATGGCTTCTCTTATGTTCTTATGTCTGGGGCAAGGGATGCTCTGTCTTCTTGGTGCATGGGAGGCAACAGTGGGAGGGCCTCTGGAGTTCTGGCCCTGCTGGTGGACCTCCTGATGGCCCCTGGGTTTTGGCCACTGTGTGACACAGAGCGTTGGATGGGATGGGCCATTATCCTGATCCAACATGGCTTCTCTTATATTCTTATGTCTGGGGCAGTGATGCTCTGTATTCTTGGTGCATGGGAGGCAACAGTGGGAGGGCTTTTTGTGTTCTGGCCCTGCTAGTAGACCTCCTGAGGGCACCTGGGTTTTGGCCACTGTGTGACACAGAGTGTTGGACCGGATGGGCCATTGGCCTGATCCAACATGGCTTCTGTTATGTTCTTATGTCTGGGGCAGTGATGCTCTGTATTCTTGGTGCATGGGGGGCAACAGTGGGAGGGCTTCTGGAGTTCTGGCCCTGCTGGTGGACCTCCTGAGGGCCCCTGGGTTTCGGCCACTGTGTTACACAGAGCGATGGGCTGGATGGGCCATCAGCCTGATCCAATATGGCCTCTCTTATGTTCTTATAGATGGAACACTCTGTCTAGGGCAGTGATGCTCTGTATTCTTGTTGTTTGGGGGGCCACAATGGGAGGGCTTTTGGAGTTCTGGCCCTGCTGGTGGACTTCCTGATGGCACATGAGTTTTGGCCAAGTGCAGTCCTTAATAAAAACTGTCTTCAGCTGACTCCTGAAGATCAAAAGCGAGGGGGCCAGGCAGCCCTCCCTGAGGAGGCTGTTCCACAATTGTGGGGCCGCCACCAAAAAGACCGTGTCTTAGGTGGCTACCAGACAAGCATCTTTGATGGGTGGGACAATCAGGAGGGCCTCACAACATAGAGGAGAAGACGGTCCTTCAGGTACCCTGGTCCCAAGCTCTGTCGGGCTTTGAAAGACAAAACCAACACCTTGAATTTATTTTATTTATTTATTATTTATTTATTATTTACATTTTTATCCTGCCCTCCCTGAAGGCTCAGGGCGGCTTACACGGCATATCGCCAAATCATACAATAAAACAATAAAAACATTAAAAATATTAAAACACATCACATTCATAAACAGATTTTGGTGCTCCTCTCCTAAAAACAAGATGGCCGTCTCCTAAAACATCCCATTCTCATCCCAAGTGCCCGCATCATGATGACCCTGTACAGAAATCATGGGGCGTTGGTGGTACAATGGCGGTGGCGTCTCCTATTCGAACGCCTGGCGGAAGAGCTCTGTCTTGCAGGCTCTGCGGAACTGTGCTAGGTCCCGCAGAGCCCTGATCTCTGGGAGCTCGTTCCACCAGATAGGAGCCGCCACCGAAAACGCCGTTCCTGGACTCAGGAACAGATTGGTAGCTGGTGTAATTGCTGTAGTGATGGGATCACATGCCCCCGGTAGCTGCCCCCAACCAGCAGCCTAGCTGCAGTGTTTGACACTAGCTGGAGCTTCTGAACACTCTTCAAGGGTAGCCCCAAATAGAGCAGATTGCAGTAGTCCAGTCTAGATGCAGCTGAGGCATGAATCATAGTGGGTAGATCTGACTTTTAAAATATAGAACCCGACACATCCCATTCTCTTCCCAACTGCCTAAGAGAGAACGGGGTTCCATTTGAGTCAAATTTAAGACCACCACAAGACTGAAAATTTAAAACTTGCCTAATTTTAGCAGCCCAAAAAGAAAATGAGAAATTATCTTCCCCTTCCCAAGCCAGTTCGAAAGCAAGAAATTGCAAGTAGATAAATAGGTACCACTTTGGTGGGAAGGTCACAGCGTTCCGTGCGCCTTGACGTTTAGTCATGACCACGGAAACGTCTTCGGACAGCGCTGGCTCTTCGGCTTGGAAACGGAGATGAGCGCCACAACCCTAGAGTCGGATTCAACTGGCTTTTGAGCAGGGCTATTTTTGGGCAGGAACGCACAGGAACGGCGTTCCGGCTGGCTCCCGAGTTGGCCACACCCAGCAGGAACTCATTAGCATAATGGGCCACACCCAACAGCAGAAACTCATTAGGACTGGCTACATTAGGGGTGTGTGGCCTAACATGCAAAGGAGTTCCTGCTATAAAGAAGCCCTCCGTTTTGACAACAAACAAGGTAAACCGAATAAGAAGCAAAAGGTGAGTGTGTCTGGATGACCACACTTCTGCGGACATGGGGGTGTGTGGCCTAATATGCTAATGAGCTGTGCTGTCAGGGGTGTGGCCAATGTTCCCTCTAAGCTGTGGAGTCTTGTGAGCAAAAATTCTAATTCGTGAGCTACTGGCATTAAAGTTGTGAGTGAATGATTTGTCTACTGCATAAATTAGATTGCTCTGGAGCCATGCTTCCTGCGCTAAGACAAAAATCTGTGAGCTGAAGGCTAAAAAACTGTGAGCTAGCTCACACTAACTCAGCTTAGAGGGAACACTGGGTGTGGCCTAATAAGCGAATGAATTTCTGCGGTTGGGTGTGGCCTATTATGCTAATGAGTTCCTGCTGGGCTTTTTCTACAAAAAAAAAGCCCTGCTTTCGAGCAAGGGCAACCTTGACCTTTACCCTCCCGAGCCCAAATGGGCAGGAAGAGCTGGAAAATCAAAAGATAAGGAATGCAGTCTTTCTTTTGAAAATGGAAGCTCCCGAGCGTCATTTATTCTGTAAATTCCCAGTTCGGAGGCTGCTTCAACATGATTGAGGTTTCTAAGATTATGCATGGGAAAGAGCAGGTAGACAAAGAGGTACTTTTCTCCCTTTCTCACAATACAAGAACTCGTGGGCACTCCATGAAATTGCTGAGCGGTTGGGTTAGAACGGATAAAAGGAAGTCCTTCTTCACCCAAAGAGTGATTAACACTTGGAATTCACTGCCACAGGAGGTGGTGGTGGCTACAAGCATGGACGGCTTCAAAAGGGAATTAGATAAGCATATGGAGCAGAGGTCCATCAGTGGCTATTAGCCACAAGGGATAGAGAGGGGCTCTGGGGCAAGTGATGCTCTGTCTTCTTGGTGCTTGGAGGGGGCAACAATGGGAGGGCTTCTGGTCTCCTGGCCCCACTGCTGGACCTCCTGATGGTACCTGGTATTTCTGGCCACTGTGTGACACAGAGTGTTGGACTGGATGGGCCTTTGGCCTGATCCAACATTGGCATCTCTTATGTTCTTATGTTCAACGTTCTCCCTTTCTGTCTCTCTCCAAGGAACGGGCCGCCAGAGGACCATCACAGATTACTTCAAGAGCAAAGCTCACCCCTCCTCATTTGTGACCGACAGGCCCCAAAGCGACACAATCAAAGCCGCGGAGTTCCCGGAGTCCCGTTCCCTCCTTGGCGGCGAATGGGACATTGTCCCAGGGGCTTCCGGAAAGCGGCCGTGTTTCTCTCAGAGTAGCAGTGGCCGCCACACGGACAGCGGCCGCCGCGACCCGTCTCCTCGAACGTTGTCAGGCGGGCTCTCCGAGCGGCCGCCGGACCAGGCCGGAATCAAAGAGGAAGTCGACGACTGGGACTTCGATCCGCTCCCTGACGCGTGTTTTGGGCTCCTGGGAACCGCGCCCTGGATGGAGCCGCGGGGCCACATCGACGAGCTGCCCGATGAGGTCCTGAGAGGCCTCTTCGCCCTCTTGCCTGCCGCGGATCTCTACCAAAGCCTCAGCTTGGTCTGCCACCGCTGGCGACGGATCATCTCCGATCCACAGGTGAGCGGCGCTTCGGCGGCTTATCGGAAGGGGTCACGTTCGGTGTTGGGCGTTTCGGGTGGGTAGCCGTGTTGGCCGGCGGTAGAAGAGCCAGATTCGGATCCAGCCGCACCTCAAAGACCGACGAGATTTCCAGAGCACCAGCTTTTTCTTTTTAACTTTTCTCAATTACTATTTTATTGAAATTCTGTAAATAGTACGAAACTAATGCAGAACTAATGCCATAGTTCGGTCAGAGCTGTTCTCTCATGGGCAGTTCTGGAAAGAGCTCTCTCAGCCCCGCCTACCTCACAGGGTGTCTGGTTTGTTTCTTTTTTAATAATTTTTAAAATTTCATACATATATGACAAAACATAAACAAACCGACATAAATACATATTGGGGAAGATATATTGTATCCTTTTTCTTTTTACATAGTCATTTGACCTCATATTGTAATCAAAAAGATTTTTTTTCTTTTTCCCACCTCATGTTTTTTTGTATAGATACTTTGCTCATAATTAGACATATACAAGGGGCGGGACCTGCGATACTCGCGGGAGGGGGGGAGGGAGCTCCACACCTATGAGGAAGAGGAGAAAGCAGGAGGAGGATGTAAGCCCCCCCCACCCCGCCGGTTCCCCCCTCCACCCCCGGCTCAATCTCCCCCCTCCTTCGAAGCGAGGCCGGGCGGCTTGTAGCCGCCGGGCCTCGCCGGTCTTTCCCCCCTCCTCCCATGGCTCAGAAGCGAGGGCCAGCGGCAGCCGCCCAGGCCTCGCTGGTCTCTCCCCTCCTTCCGAAGTGAGGCCCGAGCGGCTGCAGCTGCCGGGTCTCGCTGGCCCCCCCGCCCGGCTTTGAAGCGGCGGCGAGGCCGGGTGCAGAGCGTTCCCTGCGCATGCGCAGGGGACGCTCTGTCACTTTTGGGGGATTTAAGTATCCCCCCGATATTTTCTTACAGGTTTCAGATTTTTGTGCACACCTAGGGACTGCCCCAAGTGTGCACAAACATCTCCCTCCCCCCAGGTGCCCCCGTTGTGCGGAAATAAGTATCCGCACGCAGGGGGCAACTTCGGTATTAGATATATAGATAGTCCTTATTTCTTTTTGTTTTGGTTATAGGTCTGAGAGCTTCATATATTATCTTCTTCTATCCGTTTATAAAACTTTGGCCCCACTTACCTCACAGGATGTCTGTTGTGGGGAGGGGAAGGGAGAGGAGTTTGTGAGCCGCTCTGAGATCCAAGTGAAGGGTGAGGTATAAAGGCAATCTCTTCTTTGAGAGCCAGTTTGGTGTAGTGGTTAAGTGTGCGGACTCTAATCTGGGAGAACCGGGTTTGATTCCCCGCTCCTCCACTCGCAGCTGCTGGAGTGACCTTGGGTCAGTCACAAGTTCTCTCAGAGCTGTTCTCTCAAGGACAGTTCTGGAAAGAGCTCTCTGAGCCCCACCTGCCTCACAGGGTGTCTGTTGTGGGAAGGGGGAGGGAAAGGCGTTTGTAAGCCGCTCTGAGACTCCAAGTGAAGGGTGGGGTATAAATCCAATCTCTTCTTCTTCAAAAAGATACAGCAAATGTATACAGCGCATATAATGGAAGTTAACATCAGGACAGTAGTACATAAAAGAACCAGAGATGGGTTAAGAAAAAAAAATATCACTGCATAGAGGTTGAGATACGGAACATAGTTATCTACAATGTTCCCTCTAAGCTGTGGAGTCTTGTGAGACAAAATTCTACTTTGTGAGCCACTGGGCATTAAAGTTGTGAGTGAACGATCAGACGACTGCATAAATTAGTTTGCTCTGGAGCCCTCCTTCCTGAGCTAAGATAAAAATATGTGAGCCGGAGGCTAGAAAACTGTGAGCCAGCTCACACTAACTCAGCTTAGAGGGAACACTGGTTATCTAGTGCCTAGTTTTTACCACAAACATAAGTCATCGGTTACTTTAGGGATTTCCTGCTAAAAGAGATCGAATATCCTAAGGTGGGGAACCAGAGAGGGGCAACATTAGAGGGTGAGGTTAAAAAATCCCACAACTTTTTATGCCAACGTGAGAGAGTGGGTAGCAGTGTCTTTTCCCAATTTGTGGCAACGGCAGTCTTAGATAGAAGAAGAGAGACCCTTTGTATTCTAGAGGAAGAACAGGGCCTCCAGACCCATCCATTCAGAAAGAGATTTACCGGTGTAAGAAGAAGAAGAGGAAGTGAAGAGAAGAAGAAGAAGAAGAAGAGATTGGGTTTATATCCCGCCTTTCACTCGGAGTCTCAGAGCGGCTAACAGACTCCTTCCCTCCCCACAACAGACACCCTGTGAGGTCGGTGGGGCTGAGAGAGCTCTGAGAGAACTGTCCTTGAGAGAAAAGCTCTGACAGAACTATGGCTTGCCCAAGGTCATCCAGCAGCTGCACGTGGAGGAGTGGGGAATCAAACCCGGTTCTCCCAGATGAGAGTCCGTGCACTTAACCACGACACCAAACTGGATTTATACCCCGCCCTTCACTGCCCAAGGGAGTCTCAGAGCGGTTTACAAACTCCTTTTCCCTTCCCCTCCCCACCACAGACACCCTGTGAGGGGGCGGAGAGAGCTCTTTCGAGGACTACTCTTGAGAGAACAGCTCTGAGAGAACTTGTGACTCACCCAAGGTCACACCAGCAGCTGCATGTGGAGGAGTGGGGAATCAAACCACTATTCGGATTCACTGAGCAAGCAGAAACGGTGACATTTTGCGCTGGCTAATTTGAAGATATAGTTAGCCTAATTCTGCCCAGTAGTTTTTATGTGTGCTTTAATATTCAGTCCTAGATTTAATATTTTTTACATTGGATTAAACTGAGGGGGTGGGGAATTGCGGGAGGGGGGAATAAGGATAGAAAACACAGTTAATAGAGCAAAATTTGACACAAATGCTAATAGCCATAGTATTCCAACAGTTGTGTAAATAATACTTAGTCCATATACAAGAAGAGAAGAGAGAGGACTGGATTTATAACCCACCCTTCACTACCCAAAGGAGTCTCAGAGCAGTTTACAATCTCCTTTCCCTTCCCCTTCCCACAACAGACACCCTGTGAGGCAGGCGGGGCTGAGAGAGCTCTTGACAGAAAGTGCTCATGAGAGAATAGCTCTGAGAGAACTGTGACTGACCCAAGGTCACACCAGCAACTGCGTGTGGAGGAGTGGAGAATCAAACCCGGTTCTCCCAGATTAGAGTCTGTGCTCTTAACCACGACACCAAACTGGCACTCTACAAAGACAACGACTCAGGACAGGGACGGTCTCTTGGGGTCAATCGCCAGCTTTCATAATCTGGAAAGTCAGTTCACACCTTCAACTGCTAATCAACGGAGGTGGAGAAACCCAAAGATACGCACACATACACGGATTGAATTGTCTTCCTCACTGAGAAGTGTAGCTCCTCTGAGGTAAAGGACGATTTCTGGGACGAGCCACAGCTCAGTTAGTTAAAGCATCTGCTTGGCAAGAGGTTCCAGGTTCAATCCCCGGCATCTCCAGTTAAAAAGGACCAGGCAGGAGGTGATGGGAAAGACCTCCGCCTGAGACCCTGGAGAGCTGTAAAGAGGGGCTGTGGCTCAGTGGCAGAGCATCTGCTTGGCGTGCAGAAGGTCCCAGGTTCAATCCCCGGCATCTCGGTTTAAAAGGACCAGGCAGGAGATGATGGGAAAGACCTCCGCCTGAGACCCTGGAGAGCTGTAAAGAGGGGCTGTGGCTCAGTGGCAGAGCATCTGCTTGGCGTGCAGAAGGTCCCAGGTTCAATCCCCGGCATCTCGGTTTAAAAGGACCAGGCAGGAGATGATGGGAAAGACCTCCGCCTGAGACCCTGGAGAGCTGTAAAGAGGGGCTGTGGCTCAGTGGCAGAGCATCTGCTTGGCGTGCAGAAGGTCCCAGGTTCAATCCCCGGCATCTCGGTTTAAAAGGACCAGGCAGGAGATGATGGGAAAGACCTCCGCCTGAGACCCTGGAGAGCTGTAAAGAGGGGCTGTGGCTCAGTGGCAGAGCATCTGCTTGGCGTGCAGAAGGTCCCAGGTTCAATCCCCGGCATCTCGGTTTAAAAGGACCAGGCAGGAGATGATGGGAAAGACCTCCGCCTGAGACCCTGGAGAGCTGTAAAGAGGGGCTGTGGCTCAGTGGCAGAGCATCTGCTTGGCGTGCAGAAGGTCCCAGGTTCAATCCCCGGCATCTCGGTTTAAAAGGACCAGGCAGGAGGTGATGGGGAAGCCCTCCATCTGAGACCCTGAAGAATATAAAGCAGTGTCATATGTTCAGGGCAGCCCTGGGGTATCTCCTCTCAATCTCTCGCTTCGTCTTTCTCCCCCTCCCCCTGTCCCTTGCTTCCGTTGCCATCTCCCGATAAGCTTTACGGCGAGCAGGGATTTTGAACGTGGAGCCCCTGGGATCCTAGCCTGACCTCTAACCGCTGCACCATCCTGTCTCTCTGTACGTCCAGTTTGAAAAGCGATCTAATGCATTCCTTTGACGTTTCAGTTCATCCCCTGGAAGAAACTGTACCTGCAGTATCTGAAGGCCGAAAGTCAAGCCCTGCTGACGGTTGAGGCCATTCGATGCCGATATAGCCTAACCAGAGAGGAGGACCAGTGCATGCTGGGACTGATACGGTGAGTCGGCCTTCTCAAACGGTGCCGCGGCAGTCCATTGGCCCTGTTTTGTCTGCCCCCTCCTTCTCTGCAAAGGAGGCAGGTCAAAGTTGTTGTTGTTCAGTCGCACAGTCGAGTCCGACTCTTCGCGACCGCATGGACAAGATCTCGCCAGGCCCTCTTGTTTTCCGCCGTCCTCTGAAGTTTGCTCAATTTCATGTTTGTTGCATCGATGACACTGTCTCACCATCTCATCCTTTGCCATCCCCGTCTTCTTTGACCTTCAGTCTTTCCCAGCATCAGGGTCTTCTCCAGTGAGTGCTCCCTTCTCATTGGGTGGCCAAAGTATTTGAGCTTCAGTTTAATTATCTGGCCTTCCAGGGAACAGTCAGGGTTGATTTCTTTTAGGATTGACTGATTTGATCTCCTTGCAGTCCAAGGGACTCTCAAGAGTCTTCTCCAGCACCATAGTTCAAAAGAATCTATTCTTCGGCGCTCGGCCTTCCTTATAGTCCAACTCTCGCAACCATACATGACAAAGTACAAGAGTTTTATTTTTGGTGTATAACAGCTTGTCAGGTGCAGAGAAGTAGCAACAGCATTTGTTTCTGTGCTTTTTGTTTTTGTTCCATTTTTAATACTTGGAATGCATCTCAAAAAAGGACACAGATATCTTAGCAAACTTCTCCCTTCTTGGAGATGTGTGACATAGATACCTTTGGTCTTTTGGTGTAGTGGTTAGGAGCCCGGACTCTAATCTGGGGGAACCGGGTTTGATTCCCCCACTTCTCCACGTGCAGCTGCTGGAGTGACCTTGGGTCAACGACAAGTTCTCTCAGAGCTCTCTCAGCCCCACCTACCTCACAGGCAGTGTGCCCTCTAAGTTGAGTGAGTGTGAGCTAGCTCACCGTTTTTTTAGCCTCCGTCTCACACATTTTTGTCTTCGCTCAGGAGCATGGCTCCAGAGCAAAACTAATGTATGCAGCAGCCAAATCGCTCACTCACAACTTTAATCCCAGTCGCTCACAAAGTACAATTTTTGCCCACCAGACTCCACAGCTTAGGGGGAGCATTGCTCACAGGGTATCTGTTGTGGGGAGAGGAAGGGAAAGGAGATTGTAAGGAGATTGTGAGACTTCTTTGGGTAGTGAAGGGCAGGGTATCAAATCCAGTCTCCTCCTCCTCTCCTTCTCCTCCTCCTCCTCCTCCTCCTCCTTCTCCTCCTCCTCCTC